TCTGCGGTCTGAAGTCCACAAAAATCTCAGGTGCATGGCTGCGAAGCTGTTTTTTTCGGCCAAGCGAGAGAATCGCATCTCCTGGAGAGCAGCTGAGCTACCTTCAGCTCATGTTACAGGCCTGATGGTCTCACAGATGTAAATCATACATAGTGTTGACAGCTCAGCAGCTGTTTCGGTCAATCGTAGAGGCTGTTTCATCAAGCCAACATAAGCGCCAGCCGATATTTTCCCCCGATTCTAGACTAAGGTTTGCCTCCCAATTTCGGGGCACTTATTCGGGGCAGATGGGCTGAAAGTGGGCTCCGCGAGTGTGAATTACGGAACCTGGCCCATCAACAGTTTCTTGCCGGGAACGGCAATTTCGGCAAGAGCGTGTCAGAACTGATGCCTGCACTTCATGCCGCGCTCGTTGGCTTGCTTTCAGAGCTGAGCCAGATCCGGGGGGCACTTGAAATGTGGCAACAAGTGCCTCGGCTCGGCCCAAACTCCCTGGCCAGTCGCCAGTCAAAGGCATTTGTGTGCTTTGGGGTGAAGTACAAGGTGCTGCGTATGCTGCGTGTGTGCTGGGTTGCGGCAGAGCAGCAACTTCAGAGCGACTCAAGCCGGTCGACTGCTTCGATTGCAGGTTCTGGTCCTGTCGGATGGTTGCTGCATCTTCTTTTTGTCGCAAGCGGTGTCAGAAGTTGCCACGTCTACTCTGGGCTTGGGCAGGCAACTAGAGGTGCTCGGCAGCTGCTTGGACCGCGTTTGCTGGGCTGTTGCTTAACATTGCTGCGCCTTGAGAGTCGCCGTTAGCTCCACTTGCTTGACGCTCGCAGGTACAGAGCAATCTACATCCTTGCATGCTGCAAGGCGATGCTCTATTCGGGTCTTTGTCTTTGGCTCTCTGTGTTGGGCGGAAGGCCCGGCTCTGGCTCTTGGCGGTCTTCGACGGCACTGCGCGCTTGTCTTCCCAGCCTCTCACTCCCGGAGGCGTCGAGTCGTGACAGCCTCTTGCCTTGGGGTTCTGCCGGCACAACCTCTGTACGTGAAGCCACCTTGTCCAAGCCATCTTCCTTGATGTGTGTGTGTGTGTGTGTGCGAGTGGAAGGCACATGATGCGGAGCCCTTCAATTCATGTCGCCGCAACTGTTCTGCAGGCCTATGGTCTAAAAACGGATCGAGTGCCCACAGGACCGGCCACACCCTCCATGCTTCTCACCACTGTGACATGATGGTGCCGAGTCATTCCAAATGGCAAAGACTTGGGAAAATGGATTTCACAAGGCAGACCCCTCTAGCCTGAGCCAGAAGTGGTGACAGGATGCCCGGACGGTGTGCATAGAGTTTTGTAGAGTTGCCTCCACCTCTTGCTGGAAGATTGCCTGACAGTTGTGCCCGGCAACAGCCTCCTTAGATCACACCTCGAAAATGTGCACCAAGTGGTAATTAGGGTCCACGAAGCAAGAGGGATCCACACACAGGTGACTCTCAGCATTTCCCTGCACTCCAGCCGCGTACTTCGATGTCCTTGAGGATCGGTGCCGCCACGGCCACCCGCTTTGGGACGTGGCAGAGCTCAGGATGCTGGTGTCCCTCCTTCCTGCGCCATTGCTTCAGGCTCCGCTTCTCTGTCTCGCTTATCTGCACTGCCCGATCCTTGCCTGTCGCGACATGGAGAAGGCACCGAAACGGCACAATCCGAATGCCCGAGGCCGCCCGAGGCCTCTGAGGTGCCATGAAATGTGGCTTTGAGTACTGTCTGGCCTTCACGAAGGCGTCTCACTTGCACGCAGTGTCATGCACAAGGAAAGGGTACATAAGCCCGCCGCGAGTAACGGCGAAGGGGCCAGTGCTGTCAAGGACTGTTCGTGCCTCGCTTCACGCAGTCCCAAGCAGCCTGCACTACCCTGTCGAGGATGGCTGCCTCCACGACAGGACAGCTGTCTGACCGTGTCTGCCCAACCGCCGCTGCGGCCACAGAAGCCGAGGCTTCAGCTTGCAGACGCTATGCCGTCTATAGCCCGCTGGTGCTGGTGATGCATCCACAGCGATGGCATCTGCACGCATGGCTCTGAGTTTGGCAAACTCCTGCACGTTTGTCGGGGTTCCCATGATGCAGGCCAGCGTCTTGCAGCGGAATCGTCTAGCTCTGTGAACAATCGGCTGTCGCGATCATGTTTGAGCATTGGGCCGAAGTGTGACTCGTGAATGTCTATCATGCACATGTCCAGCTGAAAAGTCTCATTCAACAGTCGATGGTGGATCGCCGCTTCTGTGACAGCACCATTCTCCAGACATCTATCCACCTGAGCAGATGTTTTGTGCAGAGTAGTGGCAGTAGTGGCTGCTCCTTCCGCACGGGGTCAGAGTGCGTCCGGCTCGATGTTTGCGTCCACCTCAAGAACCGAGATGTGATGTGGTTGGCACGCCTCACATCCTCCGGAACACGAGACTTCCCTTGATGTTCCTGACCCAGCATCTGCCAAAGTCCCTGTTTTTTTAAGTAGGGACAGCTCCTGAATCGCAAGGAGGCTGCAACAAACCAGTCCAGCAGTGTTGGGCTGCGTACTCTCTCGGCCGGATTTGCTGTGTCCCCATGCAACCCGTACTGCGGTCCCAGGCCACACGGTGTCGTGCTCCATGTGATCCCCGACTCTGCCGTGAGGCTGGAAAAATGAGCCGTAAACGCGAAGTTTCGATTGTCGCTCGATAGATCATGTCATGAAAATCCGGTGTGCTTTGCCTTGTATGAGCACGGGATGCCAATGCCTCAATGCCTCAGTCACTTCGATGCTTGTGGTTTTGATGTTCAGCTGCCACAAAGCCGGTGCAGCTCCACGTATTCTGCACCGGTCTTCCAGCCAGCTCAAGCTGGGGACTGTTGCGTCGATCATGTTGGCAGGAAAAGACTTGTGCATAGCTCAATAGACGAGTGCCTGATGTTCAGTGCTGAGGCCCCCAAAGGCTTCTTGAGGCCCCCGTTTTGGTGCTTGTTTCATCCTGTTTCCAGGGTTCAGGGAGTTGGCCGACCCAATTCAAGCCAAGATCACCTCCGGATCTGCCCCGGCCCGGTGTCCCTTGCATTCTTTGATTTGAAGGGTAGGCCGGCTGCGGCCGAGACGCGTAGGAGCACATCCATTCTGGTTGTGTTGCTGAATCTTGCTGAGGAGTCCTGCTGCGATGTTCGTATCGTTCGTGTGAACAAGAAGAGACAAGATTCTGCTTCCAGCGCGACGACCACTGCTACTACTGCTCCTCCTATTCCGACTCACACTGCTGCTGCCGTTCACGCTGCCGGTACCACTACCACTACAGACGACCACAGGACTACACTCACAATGCTGCACTACACCACGCACTACGCTACGCTACTCTGCAGTCCTTACGCTGCCCTAGGCTTGGCTGGACCGTGCTGTGCGAAACTATATCATACTTCTCTGTGCTCTACTCTACTCTACCTCCTACTACTACTACTACTGCTGCTACTACTACTACTACTGCTGCTGCTGCTGCTACTACTACTACTACTACTACTACTACTACTACTGCTGCTACTGCTACTGCTAATGCTACCACCGCTACTACTAGTACTAGTACTCGTACTCGTACTAGTACTAGTACAGTCTACCACCAGTACCCCTACCACTACCACTACCACTACCACTACCACTACCACTACTACTACTACTACTACTACTACTACTACTACTACTATTGCTATTACTATTACTATTACTATTACTATTACTACTACTACTACTACTACTACTACTACTACTACTACTACCACCACCACTACTACTACTACTACGGGCAGATCTGCAGCTTTTATTCGCATCCGTGCTTTGCAAAGGGTCACTCGTAGGCGTTTGCTGGAAAAGGTGTGTCGACGCTTTCCGTCATGTTCTACGAGGCATTTTCCTGGGTCGCCTTGAATGGCTCCTGGAGCTGGGACTGTGACTCAATTCCATGGCAGAGGCTGTGGACTTTGGCAGCATCTGGCTTAGGCTTTGGAGTCGAGGACCAGGGAGGAGCGGAGGCAGGGGAGGTGGCTATCGCCAACCTTCGATGGACGGCTCGCTGGAACGAAGCCCAGTGCCCTGTGGCAGTGGTCGTCAGCAAGTTGGCGCATGCCATCGTCACTTTTCACCGAGACTGGCATGGAGATATATACAAAATACAAGCCAGGGCCATTCAGATGCTTCAGGCTCCTTGGAAACACGAGCTTGAGCTGATCCTGAGGCCTGAATGGATACTCCCACCTAAGTAGACGGCGCTTCAGTGGCATTCTCTCTTGTTTGAAGCTTTGGCTCAACTGTCTGGTCTGCTGTGTCCTGCAGGCGGCGGTTCGGGGGTTGCTTTGGACTATGAGTTTTTTTGTCAGCGGCGCCCCTGGACTTTGGGATGTGAGTCGGTTCCGACATGTCAAGGCACGGCTCAATGGCGCAAGTCGCCAAGTGCGTTGCTGCAGTGCGCTCAAAGACGCACGGGTTCCGGCGTCCTCCGATGCCTTCGGCTGGGCATGCCAGGGAGTCCTCAAAGGCTCTTGGAGTTGGTGGTGCCGTCGCAGGCGAGTTGGTGGCGTGCAGTTGCCGCAGCTTTGAATGGACGACTACGCCATCGCTCCAAAAGCCGGAGGCCTGGGACTGAGCCTGCTCCATCCCCTCCCTGTCTCAATGCTGTTGCCAGACGGGAGTTCTTGCCCGCCGCCTTGTGCCCAGAGACAGAGTTGCAGGCTCCGGTGGATGGGCACGTGGAGCGCGTGGAGGTCTTGCCCGGCCGGCTGGAGGCTCTTGCCTTTGCTGCAGTGGTGCGAGAGCTCCCTAACTGTGGGGTGGAGGTGGAGGTCTCGCTTCACGTTGCTGAGCTCGAGGCCCCTGCAGACCTGGAGCCCTGTGTGGGCATCGCCTGCCGTGAGCAATGTGGAAATTGGGAGGCGAGCCACTACCTTCGCTTTGCTTGTGCTGTGACCGGAAGAGGCGGGACGGTGGTGACGGTGGTGCCTGCTGCAGCGGATGCACGAGCAGAATGCAGAGTTTTGGCGCAAGGGGCTTGGAAACAGCTGCTTGCAAACGCGGCAGGTGAATCACTGTCTCGCACTTTCGCAGAGTGCAGGTTTCGAGTGGTTCGTTTACCCACGTGGCATGGACAAATTCCTCCATTCCGACTCTGACCGCTCGCCGGGAATGCTCGGGCGGTTTCTGGACCGGCTGCCTGAGCAGCTGCCTTCTTTCCAGGTCCTTCGTCGCCATTGCGGGGCGCGGGATCCTCAAGCAATGCGAGGGGCCATGGCTTTGGCCAGTTCTCTGGGGCTGCCGGCGCCGATTTTCAGCGAGTTTCAGCTCTGTGAGCCACTGCAGCTCTCGGTTGACGACAAGAAACGCGACGAGAGTTGGGTCCCCGTGATGAAAACAACAGCTGTGGACTGTGCGATGACCAACGCACCGCTTGATTTCAACATTTCGAGTCTCAGCTCAGTTGCAGTGGCACCTGTGAGTCTCTTACGGGCGCAACACTTCGTTCGGGCTTTCGAAGAGGCCGGAGAATTTGCTGAGAGGTCCTATGCTCCGAGCTTGAAGGATCTATCGCGGTTCACCGAGTTGGACACAGCGATGAACTGGGCTGTCCCGGAGCTGCGGAGGTAACCCCAGGTTGGGGGGAGCCCTTCCGCCTCTTCCCTCCGGCCCGCGTTCTGCTGCACGTGGGATCTGGCATTTGACGCTGTCATTAGCCTTTGAATTGCCCTCGCCGTGTGGTGCTTGATGGAAAGCCTTCGACACCCTGGAGCCTTTGCGTTCACCTTCGAGGCGCAGCGGCCCCGGACATGCGCGAGACGCTTTTGATACAGACTCGACGCTTCGCGATGCCAGCAGAAGAAGCCTACACTACAGCTGCAGCCGCCTTTTGGTTTGGAGCTCGACGAACCAGATGTCTCGTAAAAATAGGGCAGAAGACCAGAGCATGAAGGCAGAACCATAGGACAGCAGAAAAGGTGGCTCCTCGAAACTGCGGGCTCGCTTCTTGCAGCAAAACGGACAGGTATGCTGCTGCAGCTTGTGTGCGCATGTCCACAGCTTGAATGGTGCAGCAACACAGCACTGCAGTCACTTCACCATCTTGCAACCCCCCGCCCTCCAAGCCGGCCAGAGGTACTGTAGCGACAGTTCGGGTAGTGCTCGGCAAAGCAAAATCGAGTCCTTCGAAGAGCCCATAATATCCATGAATGTGGTAGTCTTGCCGTTGCTGTCTTGTGAGCTTCCATGGAGGGCAGTTCCCAGCTGGACTGAGGCTGGGTGCATCACAGGATACAGAGGAATATACTAGATGATACCAGGAAAGTTTATGCAAGACTGATGTTGCCACTGTCCACCCGCTGTTGTGCTTGCCCCGTGTTGCCGTGGTCGTGTGGCGCTTTGGCGGGAGGCCTCCGACTCCGCACTCTTTCGCGGCCCTGCAGGATGAGGCTGGCGAGGGGTGCATCATTGGTGAGAGAAGTCTAGTACCAGTTATAGAGCGAGGTGCTGTCGGAGGCAACGAGAGCTCGGTTCACCTTTCAGGAGCTTCTGTGAAAGGGGGCGAGGGAGTCTTCAAAAAGCTGGCAATGTAGATGGAGACCGAAGCCCAAAGCAGGGATTTCGCAGAGTCCTGGCTCAGGTACTCCTTGCTGCTGGCAGAACGCCTGCTCTTACGCAGGTTGTATCCACATTGCTGTCAGCCTATGTCAGCCTCATGCGGAGCTGTCGGGAAAGAGGCGAGTCACGCAGGGACGGAGGCTTCCGTCCTGTCTGCACCTAAAGTCTGACACGGATTTGACATTGCCAACAGAGCATGACGTGCCCTCACGCGCTGGCATGTGCACGTGCCAGTTGCTTGGAAATCAGCAAGCTTGGTGAGGATTAAAAAGGATGTGCACCCGGTTCGCTTAGGCGCTGTACCCAAGTCTCCTTTGGGTTGCCCAGCAACGTGCTCTCTGCCTTCACCTAGAGGTGGCTCGTCGATGGAAAGGATCTCCCCTCCTGTCTTCGGTTGAATTGCAGAAAGGTTGGTCAGTAAGCTTCAAGACGGTGTTACAGGCAGGCTTTCACGGTCACGCGATGGAGGAAGCGTGTGGCAGCATCAAACATGGGGTGCTGCAGCTGTAGGATCAGCTGAAGGATGCCATGGCATCTGTGTGCGAGAGTTCGAGAGACAAAGGGCGACAGGAGCACTGTTTGCCAGGCCAGGTGCCCAGCGGCACAGCGGTCGTTGCTGATGTCGCATATGCTGAGCGGACGCAAGGTCGTGCCCTGCAAGTCGTGCAACCATGGATCCAGGGTTGCAAGCTTGAAGTTATGCTTGCCCTGCTTGTTTCCCACTCGCTGCGAGCCGTGTCCTGCGATCCCGCTGATGAAGTGGGGGCTGACGTTGCCTGTTCTGAGCTGCCCGCTTCCGGAGCAAAGCCGAAGCTCGTAGTCTTGCAGCTTCAAAGCAGAGGACATGATTCTTAAAGCGAGAAGTCCAGAGGGGCCTGTTATGGGATCATCATTCGGACTGCTGACAGGGCCCCACGCCTCCACGGCCACGTGCAATGCAGTCGCAGCATAGCTCCTAAACCCTAAACCCCAAGGCTGACCAGTACTTCACCTGTCCGGGTGGTAGCTGGAGTTCTCGAAGAGATCCTGAAGCTACTTCAAGCTTTTGATCCCCTTCCGCGGCGTCAAGCGCGAGACCTTCGCCGGGTCGCGCGACCAGAGATGCCGGCCGAGATCGCAAGGTGTCACCTTTGAGTGCGAGTCCCTCCGGCGCGGCTTGCACGTGGCCTCTGATCTTCGTTCCATCCTTGGAAGCAACGTCGTCTCTACTTGGCCTGAAAGTGAAGCAGGAGGTCTCAGTGCACAGGACTGGACACTGCTGAGCCCGCCGTGGCACGCAGCCTGCTCCATTCCGGACAGTGTCCGCATGGCGCCTTTGCAGTCACATTCGGGCGTTTACCGGCTGCGCTGTTCATGTGCAGACTGAAAGCTCTGTGCAGACTCCAGACAACTTCGGGATTCAAGAAAGTTGTTGGTCTCTCCGTGCATGAACATCGCCGAGGTGCCTTCGCTGCGGCCAGCGCAACTTGTGCAGTATGTCGTGGAGCTTTTCCCAAGGCTGCCTGGCGTTGCCGAGCAATGTGCTCTCTGCCTTCAGGTAGAGGTGGCTCGTCGATGGCAAGGATCTCCCGCTCCTGTCTGTGGCTTCGAGTAAATTGCAGAAAGGCTGGTCTGTAAGCTTCAAGACGGTGTTACTTCATCTGCCCAGGGCAGGCTTTCAAGGTCACGCGACGATGGAGGAAGCGTGTGGCAGCATGAAACATGGG